CGTAGGTTTCTGCCATGCCCCGGGGGTGGGGGATGGCAGTACTTGTTCTCCGGTCACCGCGACTTGTCCGGAGAAAAATGCCGCCCGGTGGCCGAGGATCGAACCGCGACCGGCTGCGTCGCAGCGGAAGAGTCAGACCACTCGGTCACCTCGTCCCCCTAAAGATAAATTATAATAATGTTATCCAGATAAAGATAAAGGTAGAAACCTTTGAAGAAAAATTGAAGAAAAAAAAAGTATCATTGCACATAATAATATTTCAGTTGATTTAACTATTTTCTCATTACATTTTCATTGTTTTTTCATTTAATTATTAAAAACTATTGGTTGGAAGTTCAAGGCTTTAAACTTACCGAACTATCAGAACATAATAGACGTCGGAAATCTGCAGCCCATGAAACAAACAGGTAATTGAAAATTAAAATATTATATGAAGAAGACAGAACAAAAATCCAGTGCGATGACGATAACATGGACGGAACCTGAAACACAATTGCGGGCAAGCTACTAGTCGTCACTGTCAAGGCTAACTTGTCAACATTAACGGAACACTATATAAAGAAGTGTTTCCGGACCGTGGCATGACGATGCGACTCGACGTCACGGCGTGGAAGGGTTTGGCCGGACGCCTGATTATGTGCAGTTGTCGTTGCCGGGGGGAATAACGGTCAGCACACCTCCACGAGGCCGAAGAACACCAGACAGGATGGCGGCGACGCGGGCAGTGGTGCGTGAAAGAGCACACGCTTGGTGACGTGGCGCCGTGGCGGTAACTGGTAAGTGGTAAGTCACCCTAAACGTTCGCTATCTTTGGAACGGCGATCACCTGCAGGCGCCCACCATTCCTCTTCGGCGGTACACCTGCGGCCTGCGATCGATTATTGCGTGCGCGAAGGCTACTCGTAACGGCGGCGACGACTGCAAAGCACGGCGACGGGTGAGTGAACTCGTTAGCTCGGAACACGGAAGACAGCATCGTAGTCGGATCCGCGGAAACTGATGGATGACTCATGTTGCTCGACGTCTCAGCAACGGACGCTGACGTGGACGACGTGGCCTACGCGATGGCCAGGGAGTATATCGTTACCGCCGATTCCCTCATTTTCGCCCAATGGTCGCGCCTCGGATTACGCAGCACCGCGGACTAGATACTGCCCAACTCTGAATATATATACAATGCCTTAGTCCGTGTTCATTGCTTTTACAGCATATCATAAGGCCTATGGCGACGACGTCGTCACAACAAGAATCGTCTTCAGCACTTGCACATCGTCGGTGGTATACAGCTCACAACATGGCGCACCAGCCGGTCGCCGTCACCCGTCTCGTCGCGGTCATCATAATATTTACTTAGTCATGGCGGTCACCCACGAGCATACACGCCAAAGACTGCTCACTCATCCGCACGAGCTTTTGAACTGTCTTAGAACGGCTGAAGTTGACCTGTAGCCACAATCATCACATACCACTCATCCCCTGCAGCTTATCGTGTCTTGCCCAGAGGCGGATTGGCCCGCCGGTGGGCCTATCCTCGTTTTAGAGCTCGGGGTCGAGGTACTTTGATTGTAGATTATTTTTGATAATATTTAACTGCGTGTCTACTTTTTTTACGGCTGTATATTCGAAACAAGATTTTGAATGTAATCTCAGCTCTACCGAGCCGTAGTGCACATGAGTTCATTTATCCGTCAATATTTCTATGAAATATGATTCGATATTTTTTATTCTGAGCGGAGTGATAAATGTATTCATTTTATATATTGACTTGAGTGGGTTTTCAAAAAAAAATTTTGACTGCAGTGACACGCCATCAGTCATCACTTTCCGAGGTAGTAAACATTTTTCGATTTTTTATTTCATCATCTTTTTTGGTAGAAGAGTGAATCTAACTGATAAATTACGTACTCTCATGTTAAACGTATATTATATTAAATAATTATATACAATGCAATTCTTAAAAAAAAAAAAGGAAACTTGTTGGAAATTTATTATTAATTATTATAATATTTGGGCCTGTCACTCGGTAATTTCCCGGGCCAAAATGTTAAGCCAATCCGCCGATAGTCTTGTCTGGTCTGGTGTTTTTTTTTATTATTTACCCATTTTTAATCCAATTCATTCAACTCTGAGCCATCATATTTTTTACGCCACTTTGAGCCATTATGACTAATACATATTATAATATATGTCTTTCAACAATATTACTATTTTTTTTTTCTAAATTGACGTTTTTTTATTATTTTGATTATTTGTTGTTTATGTGCATTTGCACAAAATACGAATTGTACGTATTGTGTTCAATGTATAAACACATCTGTTGAACACATTCGATACAATGATTAAAATTAAATTGATGAAGACACATACACACCAACAAAACAGAAATTAAACTTTGCCTACACGGAAAAACTACTCTACTAAGTAAAAACTACAGCATAAATGTATAACACAGGTAAAATAGTTTTTATATACTTAAAATATTCAAGACTTATAAATTTGATTACGATAGTATATAAAACAGACAGGCCATCTGAAGTAAAGTTTGTATTATTGATCCAAATTTGTAATTAGTAAATTAAAACTAATGTTTAGGTCTGGGATTTAAATTCCCTTGAAAATATTGAAAAATGATTTTTCAAAAAATATAAGACTAAAAAACATTAAAAATTCCACGGAATTGACCCAGTATTTCTTCGGACGTCAAGAAAAATTCGTGAATCTTTTTATTTAAAAACCAGATTACCTTATGTCAGGCATGTCAAACATGTCGGCTCATTTTTTTATCCGCGGACAGCAAGTATAATAAACAATTGATGGAAAAAAAGTTAAATAATTTTCCTTTCGTGTCACAACCATGTTAGTAAGAGCCAAGAGGTATACATTATGTTATATTCTGTCTTACACTCTTACCTTTTGATAAACGGTAATTGAATAAGTATTGCATTTAGTATCGTAAGTAATGAATGCAATAAAAAAATGTGAAAAATATATTTTTTTTCAATCGATTTATATGTGAGTAGTAAACTATTATACTTTAACTTTTAGACTTTAGTCAATGTGTTTGGCCTAGTTAATTCTTTGAGTTTGACACGTCTGCCTTATGTTGTTTTAGTAAAGTATGTGTAGGTATTTACTATTTGTATTGTATATTTTTTTTTCGTCGTAGTAATAGAATTAGGTTAAAAAATGACTTAAAAAAAAAATTATGCCCCAAAAAGTTAGGAAGTATAAAATTTGACAACAGAACTGACTACTTATTTGAACCGTAAACCGGCAGAACAAGATCCACACAACAAAAAATTATGACAAATAGCAATTTAAATGTTCCTAGTATTTGCACTTTGCAGCAAATAGTCCGTGCGTTTCGCACGAAAGACATATTCGTATATTTATCAAAGAAAAACGAACTAAGATAGAATCTATCGCGATGAGAAATAATATTGTTAATTCGCATATTATCTTAAAATAATTACTATAACGTCTTGTTGTTTACCTAGTATTACCGGTTACGACGACGCGCGACGATAAAAATAATATTATTCTATATTGTCCTGTGTTATCACAGTTGCTGATAATTCTGTTATAACATTATCAGCATTTATCCCATTCACGGAACAGAGACTCTGCAGACTCTTTCACAAGCCCGAGATTCCTACGTATTCCCATCACAGTCACTCTATGTACCAGCAGCAGCAGCAGCAGCAGCCTGCCATTATCCTGATTCCCGATGTGCGTTGATAACAGAGCGCGCGTGTACGTGCGTGCGCACTGTGACCGATGCCGACGGCTGCACAGCAGGACGTTTACTACTACTATAAACACAATCATGTACGGTGTATATTTTGTTGATAACGACAAGATAGACCACCATTCGAGAGGACGACTTTGGAAAAATTCGTATTTCGTTTTGGAAACCTGAATCGCCTTTGATCGGACCGCCGCCGTGCGTCTCCCTGCTCACCCATCCGCTTAAGGTTCGACGCGTTCCTCGCGCATCGGCACCATACTGCAGTCCACCACAGTCCACAGCTTCCTCACAATATTATGCGGTCCGTCTGCAGCGAAACAAATGCTGGTTCGTGTCCGGCCGTCGTGTGAAGTGGGTCTTGCCTGTCTTGCAAATCGCTGAAACCATGTTGAGCCCCAGCAACTATAATTCACCGCTGAACGAAGCACGGGGTAATGATGTGCAGTTACAAACAGACGTTGGGTAAGATAATACATTGTATGTGATATTCCCATAGACTGTGTCGGGTGGTATGTAGGTGCTCTGCAGTAGGATAGTGACTCTGTATACTATGACTAAACTCATCTCAGGTGTCCAGCTCCAGAGCACTGGATATAATGTCATGATGTACATTTTGATGAATCAACCACACCAATAACGATAGGTGGTATATCAATTTGTGTTGGTTTACTTGAGACAATGAGTTATGATTTGCTTGTAGTCAAGACTTATTGTTGATTAATTAAATATCACATACGATTTAGAAATATGCTATATTCTCTTGTTTTATTTTCAAATTGATTTAGGTACAAGTTTCTTATTTGTAGATAATTTTTCTGTTTAGTTACAAACCAAGCTTCCAAGTATTGGAATGATTTTAGTACTTTTTTTAATAAAACACTGCAGCCCTTCTTTCATAATCTGAAAGATTTGAAATATAATGTACATCAAACCAAAAGCAAATAATACATACATTATTTAAAAAAAGTATCTTTTAATTATTAGTAACCTAACATTAATTAATTTTACTTTTAGAAGAAAAGTCATTAGTGAATATACGGAAGTGATCAAATCTTCTGATGTAGAAAAAATTATTGAATGTAAGTGTAATGCATTTATTGTTATATTTATTTAGTAAGTAACATTGTCTGTTATTACTTAGTAGTATGAGGAGCCTCAAAACTGATCTACCTAATAAATTGCTATTTTCGGCAAATTATGTATAGCTTCAAATTTTGAATATAAAATCAGAAAATAACAGGGAAGTTCAGTTTTGAATTGAAATTTTATTCAATAATTCTATGCCAAAAATAATTTTTGGTTTAACTCAATTTTTAAAAAGAGAGATCACTTGCTAATATTGTCCGAGGCCAGGTTCATAGTTTATATCATACCGTGCTGTGTAGAGTTAAATATATTAAACTTTTATAGAATATATGGAACATGACATGGTATAGTTTGAACTTACCTTAAGCCTGAGCCCAGGCTACCTGTGCTACTTCACCAATCAGCAATATCTAGTATAATTGAAAAGTACTTTCGTCATATTACATGTTCATATAGGTATATCGGTCTAGAATAGTTTATATTGTTATTACTTATTATTAATACGGTAGCCGGTAAGTTTAATTATTATTATTCTTAAATTATCAGTTATCTGTTGATTTTGAAAACTATTGGGAAATTTAAATTTTGACCTCCTCAATGCACCATCTAAATTCACTTTCCTACCAGAAAAGTTGCAGTTGAAGAAAATTGTAGCAATTTTACTGCAAGAAACAGTGGTCACAGACAAAAAAAAAAATTAATAAATATTATAACACACATTGTAAAATCAATACATTCAGTGAAGCTCTCATAATCTAAAATAGATATTGTTTCCAAATAACTTTAAAATAGCTTTGAATTGGTACTTATAGATTTTTGAATGTTGTTGATATAGATGAAATAATAACTGTCGGAGGAGTAGATGGCAGAACATTTACAAATTTAGAAAATTGTTTACCAAATGATCCATATGATGATAATCAAGATTCCATTTCAAAATGTGAGGTGTCTATAACGGATATATCACCAACAAGTAATACAAAATTAAAAACTCATATTTTTTTTAAATTCTTTGAAAAAATATTTTTAAATGATGGATGTTAACTAACAATTCGTATGGTTTTTAGGTTATAATGATCAAATATCATCTGATGGTACACGTAATGATAATCAAGATTCTGTTTCAAGACGTGAAGTATCTATAGAAAAAATATCACCAAAAGGTAATATAAAATTAAAAACTGATATATATTTTAAATTTTTTGAATAAATATTTTTAAATGATGAATGATAACTAACAATTTGTATGTTTTTTAGATTATCATGATCAAATATTATCTGATGGTATATGTAATGATAATCAAGTTTCCATTTCAAGATGTGCAGTGTCTATAGAAAGGTTATCGCCAACAGGTAATATAAAATTAAAAACTGATATATTTTTTGAATTCTTCGAAGAAATATTTTTAAATGATGAATGTTAACTAACAATTTGTATGTTTTTTAGATTATCATGATCAAATATTAGCATATGGTATATGCAATGATAATAGAGATTCCGTTTCAAGAGGTGAAGTGTCTATAGAAGAAATATCACCAACAGGTAATACACAATTAAAAACTGATATTTTTTTCAAATTCTTTGAATAAATATTTTTAAATGATCGATGTTAACTAACAATTCGTATGTTTTTTAGATTATAATGATCAAATATTATCTGATGGTACATGTGATGATAATCAAGATTCTATTTCAAAATGTGATGTGTCTATAGAAGAAATATCACCAACAGGTAATATAAAATTAAAAACTAATATATTTATTCAAATTCTTTGAATAAATATTTTTAAATAATGAATGTTAATTAACAATTCGTATGTTTTTTAGATTATAATGATCAAATATTATCTGATGGTACATGTAATGATAATCAAGATTCCATTTCAAAATGTGATGTGTCTATAGAAGAAATATCACCAACAGGTAGTATAAAATTAAAAACTGATATATTTTTTAAATGATGAATGTTAACTAACGATTCATATGTTTTTTAGATTATGATGATCAAATATTATCCGATGGTACATGCAATGATAACCAAGATTCCATTTCAAGAGGTGAAGTGTCTATAGTAGATATATCACCAACAGGTAATATAAAATTAAAAACTGATATATTTTTTGAATTCTTTAAATAAATATTTTTAAATGATGAATGTTAACTAACAATTTGTATGTTTTTTAGATTATCATGATCAAATATTAGCTTATGGTACATGTAATGATAATCAAGATTCCATTTCAAGATGTGAAGTGTCTATAGAAAAGTTACCGCCGTCATGTAAAACAAATCATGTGTTCAATGTAGAAAATACCAGTTTGGATCATTTAATTGAATGTGTGGTTGATGACTCATATGAAGAAAATAAATTACACATGGAAGCAGAAGTAAGTTTGGACGATGCTTTCAGACAATGTTTAAATGAAATAAGTGGTGACTCTGATGGCGATTATAATTTTGATAATATTTTAAAACAATTAAGTACAAATGGTTTATCAACCGAAACCAATCACAAAAGAAAAATATTACTTTCAGATGAACATATTGTTACTGAAGCTGATAAAGATAATAATAGCAATTGTAGCTGTGGCTTTTCTAAATTTGAAAATACTAATAAAAAAAGAATAGTTGATGGAATGATTGACATTTCAAGACAATCTCATTCAAAATCTTGTCAAGAAATTTGTCATAATATATTTTTTGATGAATCCGAAATAGAACCCTTTAAAAAGACTTATAAAAGATTTTTACAACAATGTATTTGTCTTAATCTTCCTCCAGCGATTGATAAATGTATTGAATGTCGTGTTTACCAAATGAAAAATAATTTGACCAGACGTGATTATGATAAAATTACGTGTAGGTTTTATGCATTCCGCCAATTAAGATTTCGAAAATCTGGAATATTGGCTGTCGCTGGGTATCCAGATCCTTATAAAAATATGACACTTATCGATTTTCATATGTGGTTACCTAGGAAATATGAATCTGCTCCTTGTGATTTTAACATTCGAGCATCAATAAAAATTTTAGAAGATGCAGGAGGTCAGTTTTGCATGTTGGTTAAGGAAGAAATAGACGCACTAAAATTGAATTTACCATATAATGGAAAACCACGAAAGATACTATGGAAAAAATGTGTGAAAGGAGTTAGAGAAATGTGCGATGTTTGTAGAACGACAATATTCAACCACCACTGGTGTTGTCGTAAATGTGGATTTGTAGTTTGTGTTGATTGCTTTAAGACCAAACTCAAAGATACTCCACTAACTGAAAAACAAACCATCAGCAATTTCAACAAAAAAATTTGGTTACTTTGTTCGAACCAGAAAGAGCATCAGATTGAAAAACTTTTTATAACCCAAATACTGGCTGGGAATACTTTAAAATGTATTTCAGACCTCATGCACGACACATGTCATACTCATAATATACCTTTAGGTTGTAGTTGCAATGATAAATTGGAAAAGATTTTTCCTCCTAATTTTATTGATCCTGCTTTTGACAAAGTTTTTAAAATGTACGAACAGCCTAACTCTGATGATACAAATTGTCATGGAGGTGACGAAACTTTAGAGTTAAAGGCTTTAATAAATAGACAATATGAACATTATTTGAAGTATTGCGATAATGATTCAATTAAAGGGATTGAAGAAGTTAAACCAGGAGTATTTAAAATTAAATCTGAAGTGAAATCTGAAGTATTTGAAATTAAATCTGAAGTGAAATCTGAAGTATTTGAAATTAAATCTGAAGTGAAATCTGAAGTATTTGAAATTAAATCTGAAGTTGAATCTGAATATGAAGAATGTGATATTATTCATAAGAAAAATGTTGAAGATACAATTTATGCATTTGAACATATCAAAGAAAAAGAATGGTTTCCACCCAAATTATCATTATTGTCGAATGATAAAACCCACGCATCTCATATGTGGCTGTGCGAAGGACATCTGTTACGTTTGTTAGATCCAAAAAGTGACATTAACTATACAATTTTTCAGGTACTTAAAAATACTTTTTTTAATAATTCCATGTTATATTAGAAATATTTAAGCCTTTTTACTAATTCCAATTCATGTCCTGGGAAAGTAAAATATGCAAAAAAACAAAGAGTGCTAAATTTAAACTCTGGGGTGTTTAATTAGAACTTGGGGGTGCCAAAGACCCTTTAGCATCCTTCCTAGTAGTGCCAGTGCTAAGCATATTAGAAAATAAGAAAATATGTCTAAACTAACTTAACCTTTTGGAAATAAAATTTTTTATAAACTTGTTCTGGAGAAAAATAAAAATGTGATTGATAAATTAAAAACCGTAATAAATCAGCTGACAAGCAAATGTTTAAGAAGTTTAAAACATGATGTAAAGTTTAAAAATAATTCATTGTTTCATTGTGATAAATTTTGAATTTGAGTTTAGTAACATAAATAAATTTAATTTAAAAAAAGACAAGTCAAGTTCTGTAAATGGATATTTGAGATACTAAAGGTTGAAGGAATCTTTCAAATTTTGATAAAAATTTGATCCAATATTTTTTTATTACTGTTTATACAATATTTTCAGAAATCACTAAAAAATCCCACATCTCGATAATTACTAAAAAGTCCATATTTTGGTAAATACGAAAAATACTGTACCTTAGTAATTGGTATTTTTGGTGAATTTAGAAGTGAAACATTCAGGAAAATATTACATCTATTTTAAAAATCATGTATGTAATTGTTATGAATATATAAATTATAAAGGTATAAGGTATTTTCAGTAACAACAGTGATACCTGAATCACAGTTTACCAGTATTCTAAAATGGCGATATTTACCTGTATACCAAAAATATTGTCAGTCCTAGTTTATAGATCAATATAATAATATAAAGACATAAAATGTTAGACATGTAAGTTTTAGTTTATAAAAATTTTTAAATATATGAGTTGGCTGTGTAATATAAAAAAATTTGTAAGATTTGTAAAAATAATTATTTTACTCCATCCTTCTGAGATAATATTAGTAAAAATAAATTGAAAAGTTAGAGTTATGATGAATTTGTAAAATGTTTGAAAAGAAAAATGTTTAAACATCCATGAATGGCCAGGTGGGGTCTACTTTACATGCAACCAACCTGTGAACTGAATATACAATAAATTATGTATCATTTCAGTTATAATTTAATCTTTATTATACTTTATAGGAACAATGGAGGCGTGGACAACCGGTACTAGTGAGTGATGTTGGAAATAAATTAGACTCTTCTCTATGGCATCCAGAATCATTTTCCCGTGATTTTGGCAATCAGATTAATGACCTGATTGACTGTACCACTGGCAATGTAATTTCAGACCAACCAATGAGCAAGTTTTGGAATGGTTTTGAAAATTCTGAGGAAAGGTTGTGTGATAAATTGGGCAATGTAATGTTACTGAAACTAAAAGACTGGCCGCCTTCGGCAGATTTTGCAGAAACATTGCCCAATAGATTTCAAGATTTGATGAATTGCTTACCACTGAAAGAGTACACACACCGTAATGGTAAATACAATTTGGCTTCTCGTCTGCCAGATTGCTACGTTCGGCCAGATTTGGGCCCAAAAATGTATACAGCCTATGGTAATGCAGGTACAACTCACAAACAAGTAGGCACCACAAACCTGCATTTGGACATATCAGATGCTGTTAATGTGATGGTTTATGTTGCTATCACAAAGAACTGCAAAGATTATGATTACGATTGGCACGTGAGGGAAGCATTACAAGTAATTGAAGAAGCTGGGTGTGATGATTTGACATTAAGACGGATTTATGAGCACGGAGAAACTCCTGGTGCCCTGTGGCATATTTACCATGCGTCAGATGCTGACTCGATTAGGGATTTGTTGATCAAAGTTGCAGTTGAACATGGAACACCTCTAGAACAATTCAGCGATCCAATACACGATCAGTCCCACTATCTAGACGAATACCTCAGGGAGCGCTTGTTTAGAGAATATGGTGTCAAAGGATATGCGATTGTTCAGTATTATGGCGACGCAGTGTTCATTCCAGCCGGAGCTCCTCACCAGGTACAAAATACATCTGTAAATTAGATAGTGATAAAAAAAATATTAATTTAAAGATTTAATTAAAAATAATGCATAATATTGTATATTTTGTTATATGTTCTTTATTTTAGGTTAGAAATTTACACAATTGTATAAAAGTTGCTGAAGATTTTGTATCACCAGAAAACGTGCACCATTCATTTCGTATGACGCAAGAGTTTCGGCAACTAACCGACAGTCATACTAACCACGAAGACAAATTACAGATCAAAAATATTGTATTTCATGCAGTCAAAGACTCAATTTCAGTGTTGATGCATACCCCACACAATCTATAACAAAATTAAAATATTTGTTGCACCCACAAATATTATTGAAATAGTAAATTAATATTAATACTATAAGCATTTTTTTTACATTTCAATCGAAAATTACCATATGTTGCCATTTCAATTTTAGTCAGTTTTTTTTTTAAAGTTTTAATTGTTCTAATTAACATAATAATTTATCAATTGTTTTAAGATTTTAAGGCTGTGTACATAAATATTACTTATTGTTATCACTTATAATTATGGTTTATGAAAAATAAATTGAACTACTATTTTATTATTTTTTAGAAAATATTTTCTGTACATGATAAAAAAATGTATACTCATATTTTTGTGGACATAAATTGTCGCTTCAGACTGTATTTATATTTAAATTAATGAAGCAATAATTGACTATCCGTCTGTATAAGTAATTTTAAGTGAACTTTGTTACTCTATTATGTAAGTAATAAATTAAGGTAAATGTTGACAATTAAGAAGATGCTATTTTTTTAATGTATTGCATAATTTTTTTTTAGAAAAATTTAAAAATTAAAAAAAAAATTAGAATTTTAACTGAGCCTTGTATCGAAATTTCTTCATCTCATTCATTTAATACCAAAATCTTTCTTTTAATTTTATCCTTTTGTTTAAAAAGTAATAATTTAAGTTTTTACATTGAAAACTTTTGTATACACGATCAAAAATAAATTGTTGGTGGTTTTGACCAACAATAAGTTCCGGCAAATTCTGTGAGCTTGCTAAACCATGGACATACACTAAATAGAATATTAGTTGATTTTTCCACCTGCACGTGTTGTCTCCGTTCAACAAACATACAACATAGCAAAAATTGTTTAGAGGTAAATAAAACCACTCAAGCTAAATAACTAACTTTTCATAGTATTAAGAAGAGGACATTTAGAGTGCAACATCATTTTTAATTTTTCGATATCACAAATACAAAAAAAGTTTTTCAACTTTGAAATAATAAATTTTTTTTACAATAAGAACTCTTTTTGTATTTGAGAAATAAAAACGATATTGCGCAGTAAAGGTTCTCTTGTGTATAGTGTGAACATTTGGTTCCTTAGCTACCTGGACTACAGCTTGAGCTGTTCAATATCAAGCTAAACGGTTTTGTACATTTGCAAGACGTTGACAACACATGTGGGAGGGGGTAGTGTCCTATGGTAAAACACTATGTATCTATATAACTTCTAAGGCATATAAGCATTTGTAAAGTATATTTTTAAGCCAACTAAAAAAAAAATAATTCCGACATAACTGTTTTCTCTATTTTTTGCTCAAATTCTGAATGATTCTTCACGATTGTAATATAAATCAACAGGACACCATAAATATATATATGTTATACATATGACAAGTAATGCAGTGTTAACTATCATTGAAAGATTTGGTTTATAGACATGATTTTATAATCTGACACTGGCAAAAGAATACAAAATTTTATTGCAAATCTAAGATGGTAAATTGTTAATGTAATGATATTTTTTATTTTATTAATACATTCAATTTCAATTTGATTACATAACATATAAATATTTTTCTTTTAACTATATTACATATATATAAGGAATGACTATGACATAATTAAAAAATAAATAACACAATTAACTTGCTAGTATGAAAATAAAAATTAAAAACACTGTTCTCGAAATTGTACTTAATAATCTGTGACATTTATAAGCAATTTGCAATTTACACATCTGTGTAATTTAATATCTTGGTTTTTTAACTTTAGGTTCCAATGATCCTAGAAAACAATTAAATTATGATATACTAATAATATGATGATGATTTAAGAAAAAAACTTACTCATATCTTTGAGATTATTAATATCTTCTACATTTTGACCAATGACTGTAGCTACTACTTTATTTACATCTAAAGCAGATACCTGACTGTTTGGAGAATTATTTGATTTTTTTAACGCTGGCAAAATTTTATTTATATCAATATTTTTTAACAAATCAGGTTTTTTTAATTTCAGTTCATTTATTATTAATCTAGCAGCAGCTTCTACAGCAGTAGTGTGTACAATATTTTCATCTGTGTATAACGGACACCTAATAATCAATCATAAACATATTTTTTTCATTATTTAAATCATGATTGAAATATGTACATAACTATAATATATTTATAATTATTGACTGTTAACAAAACCCACTTGTTTTCCATCACTGTTTGGTGGTAAAAATGGGCATAATTTGAGTTGACTGGCTGCCTACATATGTAACACATTTGTTTACCACAACTGCAAGTCATTTTGTTGCATCCGTCTTCCTTGACAAACTTGCGTTTACAATTATAACAAATTCTACATTGTACAAGCAATACAATTAATAGATGTATATTATAATCTTTCTAAAATATATTCAAAGTCTAAAGCTAAACTACAAATATATAATACAAGACCAACCTTATGAGTACTTCTGTCATTTTGTTTTCAATCATGGTTCTGACTTGTACTTCTGGAGCTTTCTCTATCTGATCACATCTGTATGGGAAATGACTTTCTTCCCGACATTGCCTAGAGAAATCAAATATATTTTTCGTGTTAAAAAAGATGTTGAAGCAGTGGAACCAAATATACATTAGGATTATTTTGTAAATGGTAGAACATTGGTCCACTCTGCACTTGCACATTTTGTCTCTAAATTATTATATAAAATAATGTTCTTACCGGCAAGTTTCTTTTTTGCATTCAGGATTCAAGCAGTTAATAATTTTGAGATCAGGAGACAAAATAACAGAGTAATCACAAAATGCACATGTTTCAAGTCCTTCAATGCCAGCTGCTTTAATTTCTTGTGCTTGCTTCAACCTCATTATACGTTGATATAGTTTGTCATCAACAATGCTCTAAAAATATAAAAATTAAAAGCCAACCAAATACATATTATCTGAGCAATAAAAAATAAATACTTACTTTTATCATTGTTAAATTAAATTCTTCACCACAGTCAGCAAAGCATTTAATATCTACTTTACTTCCACCAACTGCAACTTCTGTACCTCTAAAACAACATAAAAATAATTTTGTTTGAAAATTCTAATAATAAACAATATTTGGCTGTTTAATAAATAGTTAAGATTTACTTTTTTATACATGCTGAACAAAACATATGCCCAGCTGGACAAGAAAAAACTTCACTGGTTAATAGTTCATTATCAAAACAGCATCCACAAGTGTTTAACTCGCCAATAGACTTGGCCTATCAACACAATTTAAATATCACAGCAAATGTATTAGAGGGTATGTTATTTTAAATAATTTACCTGTTCAACTTGAATTCTATGTACAGTTTTTATGGACTCTATATAATTCAAAATTTCATCTTTATGATCAAGATATGCTATCTATAATAATTATTAATTACTTGTTAAAAGTGCTAAAAACATAAAAAAATTAAATTTTATAATTACTTCTTTTAAAAATTCCACATTTTCTGTTGTCTTGTAATTGACTGAATGACGATTACCAAATGATTTTCTCTTATTCTTTAAATGAACTGGTGAAGGATCGGCTAGTAAAGATTCGACAGTATTCGATAAATTGTATTTATTAATAATAAACTCAGTACGAATCTTTGCCATTGAAAGAAGATTAAACCTATTAAAAAAAAAAATGTGTTCAAGTTACTTATCTTTAAGTACATTCATTTGAATATATTCAAAATTGTTCCAAGTAAAACTCACCTGTCGCTTAAATAAGACAGTGATTCATTAAAATGTGTGGAACATGAATTCAATTTTATATTTTTGAAGTAATTAACTGGATCAGGGCACATCTTCAAAAACTCTTGAACGTTGAAACCGTCTCTTAAATTCTGTACAATGCCCAAATGGTTAACGTGGTCATTGTACTCTTTTATTCTAGGATAGTATTTTTTATTTGTAGTAATTTGACCAATGAATTCGTACAGATTATTGTCATTATTGACATAGAACTCTCCAACTAGATCCAAGTAAATGGGGTCGGCTTCTGGTATAATATCTTTTAAATTTGTCGTTAATTGTACTGCGTCAGGAGATATAGTTAATATGTCTTCATATTGTAGTTTGATAAGAGTTGCGTCAAGGTTATTCATTGTTTCATCAAGTTTGATGAGCAAATACAAACGACTTATATCACTATGAATATGAAGTGTTTTAATAACATTTGACATATACTGTTTGTACAAAGTCTGCCAACCATAATTTTCAAATTTTGGATATGCAATACATTCTGCTAGTGTGTTTTCTTTCTCACTGATTGTTACAACTTCAGCCTAGAAAAAATATTTAAGTTGTTGTGGATATTTTTATTTAAGAAACATAAAATTTGTACCTATAAGTAATACAAAAAAATTAATTAACACTATTCGACATTTATAATTCAATGCTTCAATCAAACTTTATATTCTGTAAACTCTCTTTCAAACATTCTTTAGATATATGAATAAATGCAATATTACAGTTAGAGGTCTCCATTATACGGATCACTTGTTTGTATCTGAATAGAGTTGAAGCATTTTTAACATTAATTTACAACACATAATATTTTGATTGAAAATTCAAATACTTCATCAAGCATAATAAATTATGTCATTTGTTCAATTACCACAGATTAAAAGAAAAAACTACTTTATAATAATTCTAATCAACAATATATGTTTAGTTTTCACTATTAAAAGACAAAAATAAAATCTGAAAGATAAGCACATTATGTCAATCATATCTAAGCGTAACTAGGTACCTCCAGCTGAATATAATGATGCTGAAGCAATTTGAAAGCATAAAAAAAATCAGTAAGAAGTTGGTAGAAAAGTTAAATACACATTTGGTAGTAGTACAACCGGACACTTAAATGGCAAAAGTTATTAAAATCAAAATGGTGCAACAGTATATTGTAAGGAAAACAACACTTAATATTTTCATAATACAAATGCTAGAGGGCAAAATTAAATATTTGGCAGTGGACATTATTTTTCAGTCTAAATTAATGAAAACGAGATTATGTTATTATAGTAATTACTCGATAAGGGTTCACAAAATGAATTTTATCATGCCTCAACTAATAGTTGGTCGTTGTGAAACAGAGCGAGTAATGCAATGGGGAAGTCTTGCGGTCTCAAAATAAACGTCTGATTACTGCCCAATTTCTAAACTCAATTTCACCTGTTTGCAGATTTTAAAAAACCTCAGTGTTCAACTTACCATTTTTTGGACGGATTTTTGAACTCAATGAAGACGGTTTCAGATCTGAGCACGTATCCAGCCAGTGACGGTCCTAAGTCGAATTCGGTAGACGGAATTATTCGTCTCCTGAGGATGGGCAAGTCGCAGATGACATCAAATTTTGATCAGGACATCGGCGGAAACGATAAGTAGCGACGTTAGGCCATAGAAACCCACAATTCAAATTAATTCAAATCACTGACGACCGTTGTCGGCGATCGACATTTTCATGGTAATTGCTGTCGAACGTCAAAACATGACAATGAAAGTAACATAATAACACCTTCACCATCAGAGTAAATAATAAAATATATCTATAAAACCGAATCGTGTAATATAGAATAAAAAAAAACACATACAGTCACCATCACTCGCCCGCCAATATAAATGCACAAACGGAGGGAACTGCGGTAACCGCCAACCCGGTAGGAGGCGAGTACGTGACGATAAAATTAATAATAACTAATAATAAACGTACATGGTTTATAATTATAACTTGTGACTTGTAAGAACACACAATGTATCGTTATTATCGCACACAAAATACAAAAATATTCGGTTTCAGTGCACATGTTTTTCCCTTATCAAACGTTTAATATTTTTCGCACAGACTGAATACGATTACAGGAATATACCGATTACCGAGTAAACCCTCGACTTGTTCTCTTCCATAATATGTTATATACCATCATTTCGGTGTATTATTTTATTGAATTCGGTTTCACGAATACGCGGAAGGCGGAATACGAACGATTTTAACTTTAAAGATTCAACACAGTGGGTAAATATTATAATGTATATTAAATTGTTGTATAATAATCTGTTGTGTTAAATCCCAGCAAAAACACTTCGTTTAACTTCTTGTAAAAAATTGCTACGTTATACAAGTAAAATTTACTTGATTCATAGATGGACCACGGTAATTTCTGTTGATAGTTTGATACACTTTTGAATCCATTTTTAAAAAATGGAAGCAAATTATAAAACATCTATTTAATATTTGTAGTTAAAAATACAATAAATAACACTTGGTTATTATAAATTACTGAGCGGCGGCGAAAATACATGTCAACACTGAGTGTCGCCAGAACGAATGTCGAATACAATCATAGAACAATATTACTATATTAGTAATTAGTATTTACTAATTAGTAATTACCATTAAATTTAGTATAGTATTATTTGTTAGTTTATTACGATAAGCGAAGGCGCAGGCGACGGCGAGAACCGCTGCCCAGTGTACGACGTAGTAGAGGGGTAATAGGGTCTCTAGCGCTACGCCGTCGAACGGTACAACTAAAAACGGTCGAGCAAAATATCTTTTTGCCTCAAAAATACTTCACTTATATCATTAATATATTCTTTATTATTCGACCATTTTTTTTTTAAATATATAAGTATAATCTGCATATAATGCCCGATCTATCGACACTACAAACGGTCTGTAGGTCTATTTAAAGAAAATGGGCAAATTCACACACATTCAATGGGCAAACTCTGGCTCGTGTAATATACTGCTACTGTCATGGTTAGGTTAGGTTAGGTTAGTTTTATTTTTTGGCCGTGTGTGAGTTGCGGCCACGGTTATCTACTAGATAGATAACCTAACCTAGTTAGTAGATAACTGTGGTTGCGGCCCGACTTGTCGTTTCCGGTGTTGGAGACTGGTGAATTCCGGCCCATTAATATTTTAGGTATAGGTTAGTTACGGCCCGAGTAATTATCATTATCTATGTACCTTACCTATATAATATATATATATACCTATTATCAAGGCTGGTCAAGCTAACGATTTTTTTTTAACTCGATAAGTTAAATTATTTTAAAATAATAAAGTTAAGTTTAAAGTTACTCATATTTTTTCGTTAACTACTCGTTAAGATAAACGTTAATTAAAAAAAAATAAGTTTTAAGTTTTTGCCAAAACAATAGTCAAATTTTTATTTATATAACACAAATTTTTTTTATTAATATATGATAACTTTTATTTTTTATTATTTATTTTTTTTTAAGACAAATATTAATATAAGTACGACAATTTATACTAGAAAATACGTAATATTGTGATGTTTATATACTATATATATGGATATATAGTATATAATATATATATGTAATATATACATTATTGATGGCTGCAATTCGTAAGTACCTCTCATAAACCCGGGCCGCAACTCGTACGCTATTTAGGGGTTGGGCCGCAACTCACCAACACCGTATTTTATACTTAGCTTCGCGCCACTACCGTTGAGCTGGATTATATCAACACGGATATTTACTTTATTATGGTGACCGCCTCAAACCTCAATTTAATTGATAAAAGCTTATTAAAAATATACATACTCACATATTACATTATTTTAATAGATGTTTATTTTAGTAGTTCGATTGTTCAATAATTATGATAAACACAGTAATTGAGTAATGACCACGATTCACGATCATTAGAAAATAATAATAACTTATATTAGTAAATCATAATAATGGTTGAAAATCAATACAGAAACTAACCTAACCTAACCTAACCTTTTCTTAACACGCACTTTTTAACGCGGGTTGCACAAATCCGTTTGGAATTTGGGAATGGAGTTATATAAAATATAATATAAACAATAATACATACATAATATGTGATCTTCGGTTTGTCCAGAATCTAATAAAAAACCTCTTCCAGCTGAATAAATGGTAAATATGTAACTAAAATTCAACTAAACAAAAATCAAAAAATCCACATGTTTTCTAACACACTTACACATCCGGTGACACTACACTACATAGGACATAATACGCAATAACCACGGCAAGAACTGGTGGTTTGTAGCATTTTAAGCATACGTGGAACTAAAGTGAGGTGTTAGTGAGCGATTGTACCGCCTCCAGTGGCTTTTTTTCGTATAGAGCCATATACTACCATAACTCATAAGTATTACTGAAAAAACGCCACTGGGGGCGGTACAATCGGCTCACGTTTCTCCTCCATATTATAGGTATGGCACGACTGCTTCGCTCCACTCTCACATAAACGAGTGTAAATGGTAAATATTCGCTGTAAAAGCAAGTACTGGTAAGTGGTATCTAATTGGTCACATTCCATAAACGTGGTTCCACGTGGTCCAATGAAAATGCTAACCTCCGAAAGACTTTTCGGAGGTGCATCGCCGGGAATCCCCGGGAAAATGAAAAAATGTGGACTTCCTCCACAAACAACATAAACCATTATAAAAGCCATACTGGGCGAATACCGGCTAAAAATGAAGTAATGAAAAGGTCCAATATGTTAACTCCACCAGTTTGATCTTCTTACCTGTAGTTGGTATATGTAAACTCCATCAGTGTTAAGAGGATGTAACACTGCCATTTGTTGTCTCCGTCTTACAAGTGGTTAACATAGCAAATGTACCCTCGGCTGATTACGTGTATCGACCTATTACGAAATTTGATGTTAAGAACATTATTTGTGTTCGTATGTTGATTTTTTACCATTCAATTTTCAAGTGAGTTATGAGCATTTATAAGTTATGCTATATTATATACGAAAAACTTGCTGTAAAATTGAACCTTCGTAAAAAACCAATCAACAAACATAGATAATGTTCGTACCATCTAGTTTCATAATAGGTCGATTCACTCTAATTTTTAAATTAACGAGGCTATAGGTATTAGGTACGTGATCAGCTGAGCGTAAATTTGCTGTTACGCACTTATAAGAAGGAGACAACAAATGCCAGTATTACGTCTTTTTAAGGCCTTGATTATGTAAAACTTAATAATACATCTCAATAAAAATAAGCTCAAAAATTAAAAATATGACATTATTACATAAAATTATTTGTCAAGAATGAATTACGTGTATTCATTATCATTTTTGTTCCTGTATAAGATATCCTAAAAACGGGATATGTACAAACATATCCATTTAGTATGTCCATTTCTGAAAAACAGAAATTATATAATTTGCAGTAAACTAAATAAGGAATTTTGAGCTAGTAATGTTAATAAAGAAAATGAAACAACAACTATTATATCCCCACTAAATAATTTGAAAATTTTAAATCAATCTACTTTCCAAATTGAAAAACATAAATTTAAATTAAATTTAAAAAATATGTTCGAAGGAATTTCAAATTTGGATGAACGAATGTTTTAAAAAAATGCTTAAAACCGTCATACCCATTTTAGCTGTTTTAAAAAATGATTCCTATAAATAGGTAACCATTTAGAAAATTATCATCTCAACAAACTACAAGCAAATTAAAAATAACCTCTCAGCGCCGTTTATTCTCACCCCCCAAAAAAAACCAAGATCTAAAAACATAAAAAAATAATTTTAGAAATTCCAACGCGGGTACAACAAATTAATATTGCGGCATTTTGATTATTGGAGCCGGATCACAAATAATTTTTTTCGACCACCTATTATTTACAAACAATTTATAATGACCAATTCAACAAATGTTAGGGTTACATTTTTTTATTTTAAATTATTTACTAATGTACCTATATTAGTTACATATGAGCAAAAAAATATAGGTATTAACTAGATAAAAAGGTAATTTGTTTCACTTAAAAAGTTGAAGAATCTATTGTAAAACCTTCGTTTTTTCAGTTAATTTGAAGAATATAATGTCAAGAAAAACAAAACGTATACATATTGATAACAACCTAGTCTTAGGCATGATTCTTTTATCATGGTCTTAGGTAGCGGATCACCGCCGTGGGGACAGTGGTGCCTACAACGAATTCGATCAACAAAGTAGCCAAGTAGAACAAAAAAAAAAATATCCGTGTGACGTGCTGAATACTACTGTTAAATATTTCTTAAATTGTATTCTTAAGAAGGTTTTTTATAATTATTATTAATCTGTTGTTGCCGAAAGACTGATAAATGTTTTTTAAATTGTATTCTTAAAAAGGGTCCCTTAGAGTTGTATTATGTTATAGTCTGGGAACTGTTGTAAGGAAGCCACCGTTCAAATGCAAGGTTAGATTTTGTTGGTGTTTACAATTATTTTATCATTCATAAATATTATAATGCTATTTTTAAAACCATGCCTTTTCATCTAATTGTAAAATATGGACTAGAATTAATTTGTTGTTGTTATAAACTTGTAATATGGAATATCTAATACCGCAATCGCTACTTCTGAAGATCGATCACTGCTCAAGTTGTGAGTCAAGCCCATAGAGCAGTGGCTCTCAACCTTTTTTGGTTCACGGCACACTACTATACATAACAAGTTTTCATGGTACACTCACGTACTGGACAACCACAACATCTTTGGCAACTTCGCCGAAGACATTAGTTATCGCTACTCGCCTAAATATGTATGACATTTCTCCCGGCACACTGGTTGAGAACCACTGCCATTGAGTAACCTAACCTAACCTATTACTCTATGGTCAAGCCCGCTAAAGGAGAGTATATTCGAACCATATATTACTACTGCTATGCGTAGCAGTTGGCAATGCTGGATTTATGTGCGTTGATTGACCCCTTCCGTGGCCCTACTATTATCGTTCGTGGTTTTTGCTCGAGTCATTGGTTTCTTTTTTTGAGAACATTTTCGCTCGATAAAAGAAAAAAGTAAAGGTTGTTACTTGTTTATCCTTTTTACACATCTGATTCTCAAAAGTATGGAAATGAGACGTTTTTTTATGAACCGTTTGTTTTCTTCTTTCAGTTAGTGACAAACTGACAAGGATTATTGTCCACAAAACTGCAAGGAAGTTGTCCAAAAAAGAAAGGTTATCGCATCGGTCTACAGGTTATGCAATTTATAAGCCTATTGTTATTTGTTAATGAATTATATTACAGTGTATGTAATGATTCACTGCTTCTGTCAATTAATATGAAATGTAAGATCGATTGAACAATTATTTTTTGAAAGACTGATATTATTTATTTGTTTTTGTTTATGTTGTGTACATTCTTTACGCTTCTTAAGATTGTTATCTCGTCGACGAAAGCACAACATAATAGTCTATGACAATATTGTCTTATAACTTATAAGCTACAAGTTATAATGACAGTACAATATTTGATGTATATATTGTAGTATTATAATAATACATATAATTATATAAATATAAGTATTATAAATATTTGTGATGTTGTGATGTTTTATGCAAAAATAATTAAACATATCGAATTAATTTGATAAAAAATAAATTACCAACTATAGTATTTAGTATAAATTAATTACAAAATATCTTTAGAAATGCAGACTAACACAGTAACACGTCTTCGCACAAGACTGTGTTTCATATGCAATTATTTATCATTAAATTCAAATTGAACATATCCAGTGCAGGGACATATTATACTCAATGACTAGGTAGTAGGTACACTCTAAATATTATATATATATATAAATAGAGAGAGAGATAGAGGTCGAAGTGGGGAGGGGGGATACTGTGGGATGGCATCTATCAACTTCTTATAATTCACATTTTCCATCCCTCCACTTATTTTGTACGACTGTTTAAGCGATATACGTATGAGAACTATATAAATTATGAAAGGCATCCCTCCACTTATTTTGAGCCACTTCAATCACTGTACAGTATATATTATATGTAAATACATCGGAGTGACGGTTTTTGTATTTCATGATAAAAGTCATGTTGTTGATAGTATAAAATAATAAGAATTATAAAACTGTCGATTCGTACGTATGTAGATATTATTATAATAATTATCATGTAACATGATGGTCTTACTCCAAAGTATTTATAAGTCCCCTATTCGGAGGTCAAACAAACAAAAAATGACAATATTGACAAGATGTTTACATAATTTATCACATCATAATATACCTATAGAATACTTACACACTAAAAGTTTTTAATTTTAATTTTCAATATCGTCTAAAATAAGTACGTGTTTTGTTATTAGCAGTTGCTTTATGGCATGACGTATACAATAATATAAATATAAAATGTCCAAGTATATGGAAATTGGAGGTCCTTGTTCTAATAATTAGGTATATTATATTATAATTAAACGTACATGATGATTTATCGAAGCTATTCACCACTCCGTGAATAAATTAGAAAATGTTTCAATTGTTGCTAAATTTGGGGTTCTCACGCCTTTCCTAATAATATTACTGTATACGCCACTGTCACTTAAAAAAGTTTTGACCATTTGGAAAAAAAACCAATTATCAAGAATAGGCACGTTTGGATTATAACAAAACTAATAGGTATAATGTGGCTTCCTATATTATGATCAGAGTCTAAAACATCATCTGTTTACTCTTTAAACAATAGTAATATTAAAATACATTCTATGGATTACTTGAAAGTACGTTTATATTCGAGTGTAAATACCTATACAATAATTTACGCATGCTTGTTTTGGCCTAATAAAAATAAGTCACATGTTGTAAACATCACCCTTGAATGTATTCGGCAGTTGGTGTATAATTTATTGTTATATCATTGAACATATTGATGTAATAGACTGCTGTTTGTGCGGCTGGCCTACTTTTATATTCTCGTGTACCTAGCATGGTCCAGTCTTCAGGCATCACGTCGAAGTTTCACTAGTGAGTCGCTCTTGCTCAACGCGTTAACAAGTACTTAGTATATTAATAATAATTACGACCGGTCGTGACAGAATTGATTTTATGTACCTACATGAGAATAATTATAATAGTGACTTACTAATAAAAGTAAAATTAAAGTAAGGTGGCAGTGCGTTGTTATAGTGTTTCAAATAATCGTGTTGTCTTAACACTTATAGATTTTTATCGGCCTGCGATTAAAAATTTTTTAAAAAATGACCGAAAGTAATGTCCTGTGTGCTTGCATGCTACGGTTGTCAGTTCTAATTGGTCTTCTATCAGTGGTGGTCACTATAATATATTATACACCTATTCCCGATTTTGGTAATTATACGCATTGTGCACCTTATATTATATTTTAAATACTCATATCGTTAATGGGGTTGTGCGTTGTGTGCATAACATATTATAGTGAACAATTATCAACCACACAATAATATTATGTGTGACTATCTAAAGTTTAAAAACAGAAAATTCAATTCCATAACTGTGTTATAGACGTTTTTAATTTATTGAGATTTGGACGTGTTTAAAATATGGATAGGTATAAATATATGTATTTAGTTATGTATACCTAATATACAATATTATGCATTGCAAATATTAAAAAAACATTAGCCACAACGGCTAACTAACTCGAATATTATGTCTATCCGTTTTGAAGTGGTATACGAGTGTATAAAGAAAAAATATAAGTATTTTAATCGAGAGGGCCTGATAAAATGTTGAGGTTACCTTTATATATATATTATTACGTTAAGCTACATAGCGTACATAATATTATGATTTTCCTTGAAAACATATTTTCAAACTAAATATTTGGTAATTTCGTCAAGGTAAAACATACGCTGCGACTTAAACGCCTGGTCATTCGAGTTTGACATTCTTCAATAATTTCAATACTTAGGTACATAGATGGTCGCCTTGTCGATGTATGCTGTTTACTAATTTACTACGAATGACTATGGTCATTTTTCAATAACTATCACCAGCTGTTCGTTTTAATTATTTTTCAATAGAGAACAGGGTTTTGAGTTTAAGTATATTATACTTATATTTATAGATATATGTGTGAGTATTGAGGTTTGAGAAAGCCGCAGTGACAAAAAACATTGGAGACTAATATTACGAATTATATTAATTCAAACCTTTTAAAGTCTGGTGAAAATACTGTCGGTGTCGTAAAAATATAAACGAGTGAAAGCTATAACGATTGCAATTAGAATCGCTCATCAAAAATACAATACATACGTTACATCGATGTAGTCGCTATATTGTATTGTAAATAATACTATATTAATATGTTAATATTATATAATATTATATATAATTTCGTAAACGTCGTATGGGTCCAATAGAAATAAAAACAGAGACCACATGTGTGCAGAGAATTCACGTTATTTTTTTTAATTCTTAAGTCTTTAATGAGCGTATATATTGCTGTAAACGGCAATTACGGCGTAATCTGTATCTGTGTGTGAAAGAGAGAGAGGTATAGTGTGAGAGAGATGGACTTATTTTAGAACCGATCGTAGATTGTTAAGGGTTCTCAGCGTCATTAATTTTCATAGTACTGATTGCAGTTTATTTGTATGTACTGCTTGTTTATTCACTCAAGTATTAATTCGCCAAGAAATAAGACAATTGTTAGGTTGCACCATCCTATTAATATAAATTGCATGCATTCGAGAATAGTGATAAAAATATACCTCACGCTTTACATAAAAAAATAGTTTCTGGTTCAATTAAATTTTATATTACTCCAATTAATTAAAAAAACGATTGCATATGAATGAGCTTGTGGGGTATTAAAAATAAATAGTATTTTATAAATTATTTAAACCTTTTTTTTTATACCAAAATTCAATAAAATTATTATTTGATACGAGCCTATATTTTGGAGTTCCCTATGGCTCAAAAATTAACACATTATATCCATATCCTTAAAATAAGTTAATTTTTTTACGTAACTTTTCTTGTTTAAGTTACCATTTTTCCAACATCGTTGAACGCGTTAATCTATCAAGTAGAGACACTTATATACCGTGTGCAGGCTGCAGATACATTTATGAAACGAAAGTATACAGGCATCATACATTTAGTTCAATAATATGTGCCCCATTTGTGCGCACAAATACTTCTAAAAAAAAATTAAACTATATATTTTTTGAACAATGATCAATTAAAGTTGTATTCTGATAAAAAGTAATTTTATATCGATTTAATTCATATAGGTACCAACTTATATATTTTTTAAAATTGAAATTATAGCTATCAAATTATAGAAAATCATAGAAAATAGCTAAATCTAATTATATTCAGAACTATGGTTCAAAAAATATTATGGAAAAACTATTAATAATACTATACATGTATGTAGAATAATTATTTTATCAAAATTAACATGCCATCCCAATGAAAATAAAGATTAGTAGGGGTGCTCTCAAAATATAAAATACCTAATCATAGAATAGCTCCGTCCCTCTGTGCAACCCCCAGCCATAAATTTGGCAGTAAACATTCAGAAATAACTGTTAAAAATGTGAACATATATATTGCCACATTAAGTTCACAGTAAGTCGTAACCAGTAACACAATAAGATTTTATATATATTAACTAACGTTAATCACTTTTGTTGTATGATAAAAAAAAACTCAAAATCGGGGAGAATTATATTTTATATTTGGTTAAAGCCTAAAGGTATACATAATATGGTTCAAAGGGCTACTTTTGACAGCCAATGGATGTATAAAAAATGTATAATATCTCGATGATTAATTGGTATTTTAATGAAATGTTATATATGTACGTATATTAAGATAACTTATATTTTCACAATACAAAATAATGTTACGTCCAGTCGACAAATCTGAAATCATATATACTTTAATTAGGATTTTTGACTGTGATTTATAATTAAACATAGTGTTATTATCATAATATCATGTAAGTACTTCACTTTATCAGAAATATTGAACGTTTACTCAATTTTCCCTTAATTCCTACTTCTTTAATAGTACACATCAAAAAGATTAAGAAAAATATATTTACCCACATATTTTAACCATTTTATGCTTGTATATTGTTTACAATGATACTATTAAATTATTAGATTACTATAGTATGTACCAATCAAGTACTTTACTTGTGCCTATTTAACTAGACACTATAATTATTGTTCAATGTACTTATTAAATGTAATTGCATAACTAGAAAAATAGTTCATGGCTTAAAAAATTATATTTTTTTTTTTAACACAATTCAAATACTATTTAGGTTTTTATTTTAAATTGTCCATCAATAGAGTAGAAATAGTACCCACTTATAGTAGAATAATATTTTTTCTGTCGAATCATGAACAAACACAAGCGTCGGAAACTATTTTTCAGCATACATTTTAAAGATCGAGATATGTGGTTGTGGTGTGAGCATATAAGTTTATAAGTACTTATTTGGCACCCCCTGATGACTACGGATCTCTGATTTATACCAGAGGGTTGCAGATGAGTAGTCATGCCACATATGCAACAACAGGCTGAGGTATTCAAAGTTAAAACAACAATATTTTTTTTTTTTAAATAACACGTGAGACCGCGTGATGAGAATTGAAGGTATATATTCAATATTTGTTAGAATACTTATCATAAATTATCAAATAAAAAAATACATTATTATTATAATAGGTGATCTGCAGAGAGTGTTGTTGTCGTCAGAAATCGATTACTTGGACATATTATTGTAAAAATTACCGTGTTTGTTACAATAGGGTAACAATAAAGAATAAAAATAATATTATAGTAGGTATATTAAATAGGTTTTCTTAAATATGTACGAGTATTGTATATATACATATGCATTTTCAATCGATGAGTATTATTTATATGTAACAACTAATTTTCTTGTGTAATTATAGCCAATAATATAATACTCATTTGTGCATAATATTATACATTGCGTTTGTACCATACACAGACTAACCGTATAATGCAATATGTACAATAGGTACAACTGTTTTTTAGTTGCGGTATTGTGATTTGAAAAGAGTAAAAATAATCAGTGGGAGAAAGTTAAGACTTAACAATGCATAAAGTGTGTGGTACTATAATGTTAGATAGGCACTTATTCGAAAGGGAAATTGTGGGCAATGGCAATTGTCGCTTTCCTAGGAGAACACATTATACACGTTCAGGAGCTAGAGTGCAGTAAAGTATGACTTCGGTAAGGCAGTTAAAAGGTGTTAAAAGTAGAATTTCAGTGGTGTTAGGCGTAGTTACGATTACAGGGTTAGTTTTATGGAGTACAGAGTTACCAAGTGAGTACTTACAATCATTCGTTTTAGTACGTTTCGTTAAGAATTAAATGAAAAAAATTAACGACTTACTCAATATCCATACATACTATATATGATATTAGGCATAGGTATTAGTTTCGAGAATTCAGTTAAAATGATAACAGCAGTTAAATAAAATCATAACGATTGTGTTTGTAATATTTTTTTTAGAAGCGTCAAAACAAAATTGTGATAGAGAATGTCACGAACTGGATTGGCCGTTAATTTGCAGATACAAAATTGTGCTGGAGACTCAAAAAGTTCAAAAGTAAAATATTGTTTTGTATAATTATTTAAAAATAATTCATTGCTTTATCTACTAGGTATTTAAAAAAATGTCAATACTATATAATGGTAGTTTGTTAGTTATTAGAGTGAATTTAACTATCATCAAACTTAAAGGTATAAAAACATTATTAGGTATCAGTGTAGTGTGTTCGTACATTGGTTTTTACAATATTAAAATATTTAAGAGTCATCACTCATCACTTATTATGAGTATAATATTATATGTAAAATATTACGATATGAAAATTACCATAACTTGCCTAAAAATTAAAATATAGCAAAATAAAACCAACGCAGAAACATGAATAATAAACTGTATTAAGTTTGATAATAGGCCAATTAACTTACAAAATTGTATTTTTATTACAAGACTGCAGGTCAAAACCCCAAAGAAAATGACATTATGATGAACAAAAAGTTCATAATAATAATAATATAATAATGTAAATGTGAGAATTAAATTGGTACCGAATAAGAAAGATAATAAATTATAATTAAAGAAAATAAAACATATTACCTAATCAAATGATTGCTTATTGCGAGAGATAGAAAAAATTAAAATTAAAAAGTAGGTTCTTAATTTGTTATGTTTGTAGGGGGAGGGGGAGGATAAAAAAGCATTGGCTAAGTAGTTGAAGCAAAAAACCAGAATAAAATATGGAAAATAAGATCTTGTGCAACATGGATCCTGAGGAGGGACTCTAAAATTAATTTTAGATAACGATGTGGGTGAATCCATTTAACCATTTATACATTTGGACAGAAATATGAGATTAACTGTTCTTATGAGGTCAGCTGGTCAGTAAAGGTAGACAACTGTCGATAGTGTGAGACCGGAGTATAATTGGGCCGTTGGTTACAAGGTATATTTAGATGGTGTGAAACAAAACATAAGAAACTTCGTTGAACATGTTCAAGCATGATGGACTCTACAGCAGCAAAAAAAGCTTACACAAAATTTGTTTGAATGCAAATTTCCTAGGAGGAATATTTGTAAGACGGATGCGGCAACACTGAACATAAACTTAAATTCCTAAAAAGAACAAAACATTTTTATTTATTCCATAATTACATTAATTATAAGATATATTGTACCTCCTACATGATGTATGCGATATGCATAATATAATATTACATATGTCTCAAAATTAGTGTCATTTATAATTAGTTATGATGTAAGTTATGATAAATTAACTGATAAAATAATCATATTTTAGCAATTGTCAAAAGTGTTCCTCCAACAATCAAACGGAATGCCAACATGACATGTATTGCAACAGATTTTCAGAGAAAATTATTACTGCTAATAGACAAGTTCCTGGTCCACCAATACGAGTATGTTTGATAATTATATTACCCACATAATTTATTAAATTATTGTATTATACATACTATCTATAACTCTATACGACATATCTGTCAGAAAGTATATAAAACCCAATATTACTATATATTATAGGCAATATCATTATCACATGGATAGAAATATTATTAAAGTAATAATTTTTTCCTGTTAAATTAATCTGCACTGTAGATGGTTTCATTTTTTTAAAGAGATGTGCAGCAGTTAAGTTCTAAAACGTGGTATTTATTAATAGTTCTCAATTGAAAATATATATCATTATTTTAGTAGATACATAATTGTTAATATTAAATAATAAAAATATATTATTTAATTACAGGTTTGTGAAAACGATATAATGGTAATAGACATTGTTAACCGTATACCCGGTCATAGCATTTCGGTACACTGGAGAGGTCAGTGGCAAAAAGAGACTCCGGTAATGGATGGAGCACCTATGGTAACACAATGTCCAATACTACCGCACACAACATTTCAATATAAATTTAGAGCAGCTCAAGCAGGAACTCACTGGTGGCAGATATTATCGGGTAAAATACTGAAATCCATTAATATACTTAAAGGTAGTTATAGGTAAAGACGGTAAGTGCATTACCAATTTATTTCGATAATACATATTACTAATTAGACCGATCATAAGAATTTCGTGATTAAAACTGCGTATCGATTTATAACCATAGATTCAATTAAATATAACAATGTTAGTAATAATTCTTATTTGAACGTTTTTTTTTAAATATTTGAGTGATTATTATTATAATATACTATTGTACACTGCAGTGTGGTGTTGGCCGTGATTTTTATGGTCAAATGTCCGATAGTTTGGTGGGTGTGTGGTGAGTACTGAACTGAGTAGTACAAGATTAATTTCGTCTGAATATGATATTTAATGAGAATAATAGTTTCAATAATATGTATTATATTAAGTAGGTAGTCAAGGAGGGCGGTGGGTCATTAAAAAAAAAACAAAATATTTCGCTTTGCCTCTTCTCGCCCAATTTTACACGCACACATAGGTACCTACTATATGCAGTAATAATATATTTTGGTTCTTGTAAGACAAGTAGTTGGCAGTATGCAAATTGTAAATGTTTTTTATTTATTTTGTGCACTACTTAGTTTCTACACTTAGCCATTACAATATTTTCAACTTTTACAATACTATATTGATACGGTATTATATTTTTATAAACAGGCGACGAGTTGTCCGACAGACTATTTGGAGCATTTATAGTGAAGCAGTCGAAACGTCGAGAACCTCATGCCTCCATGTATGACTATGATGAAGTTCCACACGTTTTACTAGTAGAATACACGACAATCTCCCAAAATGGTATCAATGAAATGCGCATAAATGGAATGGAATCGAACACGGTAAACGAAACTATTCAATGTGTCCATAATTAATTAAGTTAGGTAATCAGAATTAACAATACAAACCATATTGTAATTTATTATATAGTGTATGAAAAGAATCTATAGAGATTGTATTACTGAAAGACGGATTTGTGGTTTAATTAAAAAAATTCGTATTGTTAGTATGGCGACGTCAGTTAATTTTTGCTATAAGCGTAAAAATCTACCACGCACTTATACTGGTTGACGGTTATCACCCGACATTCGAAGGCTAAAAAACATAAATTTTCATACCAAACATTATAATAATATTAATATCAAACAGTTTTAGTGAACGGCAAATTTATATTCCAAGACCATATCAATATTATATTATTATATGTATACACACCACTTGTTTTTATATTTTATAAATAAAGCATGTGCGTAAAACGAGCACGTCTCACATACGGCGACCACTGATCAGGGAACACGATTTATCGAGAAACCTTGATCAATTAAACACTGACACTATTACTTAAATATCAGAACTGAAAAAAAAAATAGATTGTTTTTTATTTTTCCGATTTCAGACGATCACGGTACAAGACAATAGCAAGTATAGATTCAGGACAATAAACACAGGAGGAGATTCGCAATGTCCAATCGAGATAAAAGTGCACAAACGTCATTTAACAGTTATATCAATAGACGGCCATGCGATTGATCCTAAACCAGTTGACGTTATTCAAGTTGAACCAGGTTTAGTGTTGAATAAACATGTTCACAGAATCGTAAAATGTAATCGGCTAAAATCCCTATGGTGTGTTTAAAGGTGAAACGTTAGACTTCATTTTAACCACAAGCGAAATCCAAGGAGTTTATGACATGATGGTCAGCTCAGAGGGTCACTGTAAACATTCCAACCACACACACACGTTGTACATACAATACAACTCGACATTATACAACACGATCTCGGACACGGAAAATCTCGTAAAACCGGTGAGTATTATATTATTATGTTGGGTATATTTGAAAAATATATGGTAATTAAAAAATATATAAGTGAAAACAATCATTATACGTCTTGATTTTTATAGCTTAAATATATAGGTACAATAAATTGTGTAATTAATCTATATGTTAATGTACTTTATACATTATGTCTTATAAAAAAAATTCTTTACATAATGTAATATAATGAACTGAGAAGTTCTTATAATAATATAAACATTAAATCACATTTGTAAACATTAAATTTTAAGTATCCGTAAATCTATTTTCTATATAATATGTCCTATATTATGATATAATTAATTATTAGTCAATAATATTTATTTATTACATGATTAATAATATTTAATTTTTCTTTTAAAAATCAATAGAATAATGAAAAAACGTTGTAATTCAAACTGGGGGTTTATTGTACTCCCGATAAACAAATAATAAGATGAATTGTTATAAAAAAAAAAATGCTCACCGTAAACAGACGAATCTCTCTTCATTCTATTATTATGTTGGAGTTCTTCCAAATTACATTTACAGACTATAAGTCCATTCAATTTTGCTTGCAAGTTTGAAATAATAGGTACCTACGTATTATTCTCGGCTGATTGTGCACTTTCATATCGGTCGATGGTAATTATTAATTTCTATAGAAAGAAAAACAATGGAATTGCACTGTACAATTTACAATCTAATCAACACTAAATAATTAATAAATGTTACAAGACCTAAATCAAACACTATTCTTTTTGATTTACGAGTATTATTAATTATAATATACTATTACAAAGTACCTACCAATGTATTCGTTTGATTGATTTTTGTTGTTGTTGCTATAACTATCGTTATAAATTAGAATAGTTTGCTAGTTCCACGCAATAATAAGTCATATTATAGTAAGATCAAAAAAGTCAGCAAAAAAATATTCAAACAAAAACTCAACTTTCTCACCACAGACGTGACCGTCGAGATTGTTTTTAGAAACACTAACCGCTGTTTGTTTAATTTAATTTTGTCAATGTTAACTAACCTATTCCATTCGCGAGATGTTTGATATTTTGACCAAAAATGTATGATACCTATGTCATCTTAAAATATTATAACAACTTAGAATATTATACTTGATATTTTTTTAATGTTTTTTGAATTATGAACAGTCCGAGTACGGGGATCGACACTTGTCCATTACAAGTCTCGATAGCCTACCCTACGAGTTGTCTGCAGTTGAATTTAAAAATACAATTTATTTGGGATTTTCCTCGATTAAATATCAGCTCGGCGGTAAGCGAACAATGGAAACACAATAATAATGTCAAACGATGATCGGTGCAACCGTCAATAACTTATACTCGAACGTTTACAGAAGGAAGCTGGTCATTGCCGAATTTCAACAACATTTCGATGGTGTTACCTTCCGCCCCTTTGCTATTGCGACAGCCCGAAGACGTGATAGTGTGCAACGCAGAAAATGTGCCACTCAAATGTCGGTCTAGTATTACGTCTTGCGAGTGTACACATATCATCGACTTGCCGTTGGGTTCTGCTACGGAATTAGTTATTTTCGATACAGGTATATACAGTATACACAGTATACATAATCCACACACATATTATATTATTAAGATAAAATCAGCCCTGAAACATAATAATTGTATTGTCATAATGAATCTCAAATCACGTTCTTAATAAAAAAAAAATCACATACCTATGTTAGTGACCGCGACGCGAACTGTTCATACATTCAATATTTTTTATTAAGACATAGCGGGTGAGCTATACCGAGAGAGTTTTGTAATAAAGTCACAAATAACGATTAACACAGTACTTCTGTCAATTAGATGCCGCATGTTTGTTATGTTATTAGGTCCAGAGTTCATAACCTATTGATCAAAAACAAAAAAGTTGTTATGAGCTCAATAATATGCTCTTTAAAACATTCATATATACATTTAAATAGGTTACTGCTTAAATTTTTTGCTAAAAACCCTGAAATATGCAAAAAAATCTATGTGTAAAAACAAAAATTTAGTAATATTGCATAAGAATTATTTATCAGGTTGTGGTGCTCAAATTGTTTGAAGACTACTGAAATTGATACATAAAACTATAAAAGCAAAGTGCATTTAAATTTCGATGCATGCAACATCAAATTAGATTAAGTTAGGTTAACTTGACAAATTTATAGCTCACATAGGCATCTCTAGGACGTCTCAAAAAAAAAAAAAAATGCAAATGCTATACATTTTGATCCTCGGGCCACTTATAACTAGAAAATCTAAATTTTCTAATAATATTTACGATTTGATTACTCAAATGTACGTTAGTACCTATAACGTGAATTTCCAGCAACTGTTTTTCTTCTGCAGCATTGGTATCAATATTATATACGATTGATATTTTTGCATAAATAACGTTTGCATAATATACATAAAATAACCGTACAATTAGCGTATATTATGCGCACAACAGATGCAATAATTGTTTATTTAAAGTGTTTTGATTTGAAAATATTTAAAAAAACAGCGGGGAAATAGTTGTTTTTTTTCGATAAAATAAAATTGTTTCAATCATTCAGTTATTTAAGAATCATTAATGATGCATGATTTCATTATAGTTATTATAAGGTATTAATATTATGTAGCATATAAATTAATACTTTATGCGCAGTTATCAACTTCGCTTATTTCGGCCTCGGAGAAGTTAAACTGTTCTATTAATAACTAATTAATTATTATATAGCTAAAGTGATGATATTTTTCTTAGAGCACACGCTGTTCAAGACGGACAGATCTCATTCGTTTTACTTGCACGGACACAGTTTCTACGTGGTCGGCCAGAAGAGCAACGCGTTCGTCAAGTCGGCTGAACATGCGAAGAAGTTAGACAGTGATTCGCACTTAGTGCACAGGAAACTCGACAGGTCGGTGCTGAAGAACACCGTGGTCGTGCCAGCAGCAGGTGTATCTGTCGTGCGATTTATCGCTGATAATCCCGGTAATGATCGCTGCCATTAACCTAACCCCAACCTTAATAGTGAGATTTCAATCTTACAAAATAAGAAAACCATGTCCCGAGGAAAAACATTCATATTTATTAACGCAAGAAGGGTCTTTATAAACAGATCTTTTGTAAATTAATATATACAAAAGGGCGAAAACCCCGTATTAATATAAACGCTTTTGTTTGACAATAATAATGTCATACCATTGAGTTGCTCAAGACGACAATTTTATAAAAAGTGCACTTTACATTTATTAAAAAATTCATTAAGAACATAATATTTTTTCCGTAGATTAAAAAACACAATGAGTTGTTTTCATTTTCAGCTATTATATTTTACGCTGCACAAATCTTTTTATCACGAGGAATATATAAAAAAAAATGTTATATTTTTAACATTTTATAAACACAAGTAGTTCATAAATGAAAAGTATTTTTAAAATTGTTCCTATCATAAAAAATATCAAAATACTTCGGTCAGGTACTCAGGTTAAATATTTGTGCGAATTTACTATATAACCGTAAATCGTAATAATTAAAAAATAATTGATTTTTCAGACTTTTAATGAAATGGCTTTTTAATTTTATCATTTATTATAAAAACTTTTCGTGGATAGTAAAAGAGTATTTACAAAGTTTCTTGTAGCACTTTTATAGTTTTGTTGATTAGAATTTTAATCCAAATAATACCTTTGAAGTGGTAATTTTTCAATTTTCTCAATAGTTTCTTTAACTCAGTGGTCCTCGAACTGTATCGGCAGAGCCCCAGCTCTCCTCGAGAGTAGTTCATTTAGGATACATGAACATAACTGAATTAAATTTAAACAAAATAACATTTGGTTTATTATATTAATGACAAGTAATTATAACTCACATAAAATGTTGTTTTACGGTCAAAAACATTATTAGATGTTAGTTAGTTTCATTTTACACAATTTTTCACGAGTAAGTATATTTTATGAGCATTTATAATTGGTGGGGTTTCGTAGAATTTTCTTAGCACTATAAGGGGTATTACGAAACAAAACAGTTTGAGAATTACTGCTTTAACTCTTAGTTTAACAATCTTAGGTAAAACTAATATGACCGTAGAAATACCCTATGAAAAAGATGTTTCCGGCCAAAGAATTTTCATTCAGTTTAATGTTATCGAAAGGAATTAATAGATTTAAAATTAAATATCACAGCACACCACTATGGTACTAATCCTACAAGCGCAAAGCTCGAGAGCTTTGTATTCCATTTGGTTTTTTATTAAAATCTTTTTTAAACAATGTCTCCAAATAAATATATACATTATTGTACGTACATATTATGTACATAATATATGTATACATTTTAAACTTATAAGTTTTTACGTGAACTTCGAGAGAATTTAGGAAATGTGCGAAACTTTAGTCGTGCAACTTTTAAACATTAACCACATTTAGATTAAAAAGATACGTTAACATTTTTTTAGATTGGTTTTATCATTTTTTCAAAGTTTTATGTGCTTATCTTTACTTTTATAAACTTAAAATATTTAAAACTTCTATAAAAAAATAATAATAATAAAATAGAAAATGTCATCATATCTTTAAAAAAAAGTTTTAACTGTTATGTTTTATTGTTAGATAAAACAATTGTAAAATAATTAATGGTAATAATTTATTTAATAATTATATTTTTCTATATTAACAAAGGGAAAAGTCCAAATTTTAATTTATCTTTTTTGATAAGCTCTTTTTAAATATTTAATTAAACCAACGATAAAAAAAAATAATTTTAAAGTATTGATTCAGATAATAGATTAACCGTGTTTATTTTAATTTATCCGGTGAAATAAATATTTGAGGAATTATTATTTTTAAAATCTGTTTTGTATATTTTGTGGATTTCTGTTCACTATTTATGAGGAAATGTGATTATGTTAGACTTTTATATTTTAAATTAAATACTGATGGCGCTCTAAGCTCTCATTGTCGCCATCAGTTATATAGTGGTCGTGTGTGTTAGTTTGGACGAGGGGGACATTTTATTTCTAATTAAAACTTTGAACAAAGTTTATAGGAACAGGGCACTGGCTCCGTTACTAATTACACAAAAACTTCTGTTTTGTAATTTTAAACTATTTACGATTTATGAAAAACATTTTTTTTACAGCGATGTCGGTAATACGACTGTTTTTGAATTTAGAAATATATAAAATCTAAAGTCATTTTAATTAGGTACGAGATTTTAAATAGTTACATACATAATATGATGGGTAAAATACAAAACTCAAACATAATAATAAATGTAAAATTTTCTGGATTCGGTTTAAGCAATATTGGAAAAAATTGTCACATTAAAAGTGTATAAAATATAAAATATATTATTTAAACTTCAAATTAAAAAATAAATAAATATCCTCAGTCAATAAAAACTACAACAGATTTTTGTATAAAATAATTGTTTATCATTTAAATGGTTCGCTACCAACAATAATCAATTTTATGTGTTTCAGGATATTGGTTATTTAGAAGTGAAAAGACTTCCGAATGGTCCAGTGGCTTGTCATTGATTTTCAGGGTGTTAAATCCCAGTGGAAGTTTTCCTCAGGTACCCGAAGATTTTCCTAAATGTGGAAATTTTATAGGTCCAGAATTCTTTTTGGCCTGATTTTGTTGTACTTACCTATTATTTCAATATTCGTTACCGTATTAATTATTTTGATCTCCAATATAATATTTAAGTTGTATGATAAGACAGGGGCTCTTGTAGTAGTTATAAATGTTATTGTATACCTAATTCTAACATAATTATTTTATTTATTATAAATCAGCTTGTAACCACTACCATAATATTATTTATTATATATAAAAAAACAAAATGTATTACTTACCAGTTATCAGTTACCTACCAGACATAATTTATGTACCTAATGACGAATTTGCTTACCTATATGTATAGACAGAATTTGATATCCGAACCCTAAAAATGTAATTTTTTGTATTTATTTATTTTATTGTCAACTGTACAGTGGTCATGAGTTTTAAATTTAAATTACCATATATTATACTCTATTTTGTACACTTATTGGATTTTTTTTTCAATGGTTATTTTTAATGTCTAAATAGATTAGTATTTTGTGTAGGTAATATGGTTAGTCTTACCAAAAATGTTATTTTGTTTGTTGTGTGCAATTTGGAATGCCGAGCTTCACGTAGTTGGTTGGGTATATTTTCTTTCCTTTTCTTTGTACTTAATATTTACGACATTTGGTTAATATACCTACCTTACATATAGTTATATTATGTTTTATTATAAACTGTATAATATTAAATTTGTGTTCCGAAGGTTGACGCATAGGCATAGGACTGTAGGAGATTCTTATTTGGCCATCAATTATAGTCAAAAGTAATATTGTATAATATAATAAGAGAGATAAAAATATTATCCACAGCTTCACATGAGCTTATTTTATGGTACTAATAATTTTGAAGCAAGTTATGACCGTTTTGAAATTGTAAATTATTTGATGATTTTAAAATGCATATAACTATTGCTTCAAAATTATTTTATTAAAGAAGTCCCAGGTGGGGCGCTAGATAATATCCTCAATTTGAAATTTGATAATATTATGTCAAGTCACTCTAATATTAAAAAAGAGTTCAATAAATTACGTTAGGAAGACAGAGAAAACATAATATATTTGGCACGATGTCCTCCTATAATTACTCTCAATTGTTGTAAATCTGCTGTGAGTATTCTTTACAAGTATTATCACAGTATTTTGATCAGTATTGATCATCACAACGAACGATTTTACTTATTGTATACAATTTAATAAAGTTTATGGATTGTAAATATTTAATAAACTCTTTTTCTTAAAAAAAAAACTTTATGAACACAAACGAGAATTACTATGAACAAATAAAGACTAGTTAGATACATTTTAATATACCTTCTGCCTACTGTTTTTGAATCATAAAAGATAAATTATTTGAATTGTATATTGTCTGAATTATATTAAACGCATTATTTTATTATATAAATATATTATTATATTTTGGAAAAATTTGAACATTGATAGTAAAATTATTTCAAATACAATTAGGCACTTGAAGTAATTGAAAAATATTGCCACTAAAAAAGGTCAAAGACCATCTAGAAACTTAGATATGCATAATTACGGTAACTAATTAGTGATTACCTCATGTTAGTATACTTATATACTTTATATAATTATACTTAATAGTTAATATTATAATAATTATATAAATTATAATTTTTATTATTTCTGAAGTATGCTTTTTACATATTACAAAATATCAAGGTAATAATATACTTAGGTACCTATAAAAATAAATACATTTTTTTAGTTTCTCAGTTTTTGATTTAAATTTACTGTTCGTATAAAATTTTAAGCTATATACAAATAGAGACCACTGCAGGACCAGAAGTTTTAATATAAATAATTTAAAATGTAAACCATGAGGACAAATCATCAACTCGTTTTCGTGCTTATTTAGCAATTAGGCATGTTGGTTAAAATTAACTTGAAAAAATGTGTAATTAAAGTTTACAGCTAAATTATGTTAATTATGTACGTTTTAGAAAATAAAATGTTTGTGTATAATAAACACAACCACAATTAATTATTATAAGTAGGTAACCACAAAACAAAATGCGATGACTTAAAAGATAAAATTAGTATTGACTGTGTTGCAAAAACTTACATCGCTGAGTTATTAATCAACTTGATTTGTGATATAAAATATTCTATATAAAAAAATTATTCATTGCGGTGTGCTTTATTGCTTTTTTAAATTAAACTCGTTAATTTCGACGGTGAAAAGTACCGATAAGTGCGTCGTTAGTGTATAAAATAATTAACCGAAAACGTTTATCTTAATTTTCATGTTTCACTCATTGAATTGTTAAAGGTTTGAAAGGCTATGGAGTAGTTAAAAAAGCTGAACATTATTAAGGGGTTTCAGTGTTCAATTTGAATGAAAACGTTTGCACTTTTAAATGTCGTAATGGATGGTCTAGTGCTATTAATTTATTATACGTCAATAAAAAACATATAGTTTATATTATAATATGTTATTAATTAGTTTTGAGCAGGCATCTCGTATAGTATAGGTAAGTGGAGCTGTTTTCGAAAGGTGTAAATATTAAAGCGTTTTTTTTCATTTTGTTTATTAAATCCTCAAATTGTTTTATATATGATTCAATCTCTTTAGTTTAAATAATTTTGTTATTAAAAAGTCTGTTGAACCCCCATTGACACAAAAACAATATTTCAAAATGATGTATGCAGTATTTTTGCAGCTCCACAATATACACTATACGGTCTTAAAAGTATAAAACACATTCACTTGATTCCTTGATCAATGCTCATATTTATATATTATACCTAGTAGAAATATTCAAGTATTCATTGGCTCGGGGGTTTTTTTTAAGTACTTCAAAGGAGGTTCACTACTTGATAGTTTTTGGACAATCTTCGAATTGATTCTTCGGGACAAAGACTACAAGTAGTGTTTGGGCACCATAAATTCACCACCAATGTAATATTTCAGCCACAAAGTATCCAAAAATAAAACGAGACGTACCTAATACTACCTATGAATAACAATATCTTAAAATTTTTATAATTATTTTATCAGCCTATACGTGATTTACAAATTTAAGACCTCATAAGTCTAACACTGCAAAATTTTGATTTCTTAGTAATTTATTTTTTATATTTTAAGATTTAAATTTCAAATAATTTAATGCATAATTGATAACATTATAAATTAAAAAAATTAACTAACATACTTTAAGAACTTAAATGATTTCTATCTGATTTTTTATTCAATATGTGTCAAGTCTGTAAAGATTATTACTCAGTGACCTCGAACAAACAACATTTTACTAAAATATCAGATTACCTCACTATTATTAAACATAATTATTTTTGTTAGAAAATTATGTTAAATCGTTGGCCATACCTAATACATTATTATACAACCCGGGCTACGACAATCTGATACGGCTGAGCTCTTTATTAGTAGTTACCAGTTACATATTATATATAGTGCCCAAGTCAAGTATACGTAGAATGACATGTTTTAGTACTTAAGTACAGCGTATCCATATCTATTGTGAACGCGGGGTTAAAAAACGAGCTAAAAATAACTTTCGGTTCCCAAACTCGTCATGCGCCGCCGCCGATGAAGGACCTAAACTTGTTTTTCACTTATTATTTTTTTTTTATAGAGTCGAGCCGACCACGATCATTACCATTATTATATGTCGATAGAGATAGACGAGTTGTTGACAATAAAAGAGCTAAATTGGGAGCAAGAGAGGCAGAAACGTACGATAGGAGCAACCAAACCGGAATTGTTCATTCGGCCTGAATGATATTATTTATACCTACCTACCTACCTACCTACCTACCTAACCTATCCGAGATGTTGAACTCTGGCCAAGTGTACTTTATACGCCTTGTGGATGGAATTATAACGATTGTAACGACAGCCTAGGTCAAGGACACCGTTTCTCACAATATTTAATTGCCGTCTCGTGTACTTAATGTCATACCAGGCGGCGTCTAGATGTACGTCTATAGATAGGCAGGTACTGGGATACCGGGCACTGTTACCCATACCTACGATAATAATATTATCTGAAGCGATCGCCGCCGGTGCACTCCAGGAAAGCCATATACCGACAACAGACAGGAGACTTGAACGACCAGGATGGAAATATAGGTATACCTGCTATAGTCACATTATACCAGCGCAGCGACGCGTATAATATAACCGCGCGAGGGGTAAGCTTTTGCAAAGTCACGGTGGCGTCGTGGTACGGATAATATCATCGTCTCGGTGAACGATATTAAAACGATCGAGCCGAAATAAAAAATAGTCGAAAACGCGTGTCATTGCTGCAGTGTTCGTCGTGCACATAACACATACGGACAAGCCGAAGAGTGAAGCACTTATACTTATACTTATACTTATTTACCATGTAGGATATAGTATTGTCTGTATGTACAGGATGGACCACAGGAATGGGGTCAAGGATAGTATATATAACTATATTTATCTGTCTGTATATGATATTGCCCTCCCTCCTATGTTTGTATCAAAAACACTCGGAACCCGATCACATCCTAAAATCTACTCGTAGGTATAATACAGAGTGGTTTTTTAAGCATGCTATCTCCAATTTTTCCCTTTAATAGTACATTTATTCAAACTCCCATTTTCGGGATTTTTAAGTAGACCTGAAGACCATATTTTTAAATTTCTGATCTTTTTGGACTACTTTAGGAGTAACCTGTGGCGGTACGAACCTTTTTTTATTTCAAATAAGAACCCCCCATTTTTCTGAAAATTATTGGAGGTCAATTTTTTTAAAAATGATGTACATAAATCAAAATTCTAATGAGTAGTTTCTGAGTTATTAAAATGTTTATATCAAGGATAATAATCTTTAAAAATGGTTCTATAAAAATAAAAACTATAAATGCAATGTTAGATGTAGTATTTATTATACTTGGATCATTTTTACAAATTATTTATATTGATTTATATTAACTTTTTCAAATTGTCTAAGCCCCCGTAGGTATCTACTTAACCCATTACCATAGACATATTATCCTTAACACACAAAGTTACATAACTCAAAAACCGGTGATACACGACTGCGGACGGTTCTTATCGGGGCGACCTTTTTATTGACACGATTGCGAACGATTATAGTTTATCAGCGGACCCCCGAATATTACACTATTGCGGACACATGTTGCCCAATTTATAAATAATACTTCGATAATGTGGGTATGTGGAAATTCTGAGAGTGATCAGAACGTGGTAAAGAGTTAGTTCTACACAAAACGAATAAATATGGATTTAGGCGACTGCGGAAAGATGGAATTTTGAAATGGTTATGTACAAATTAATAAAGTCTGTAGTGCAAGTATTTTGACGGCATCGGTGGCAAAAAAAGATTTAGATAGAATCAACCTAACTATTCAGAGCTATAATGATAACAAAAATCACCAAAACGTGATACAATATTTAAAAAAAATTAGTTGTCATTACAGGGAGAAAAAAGTATAAATTTAATTAATTTATTATTATATTGAGCTCTTGACTTTAAATGTGTATATTATATTATTATATTGAGCACTTGTTTTTTACTTTTTTTGATTTTCAATTTTTAACTGTGTTGTTAAGAACTTTTATAAAATTGATAATATTTGGGCTTGGTAGACCGCGTCGCACAACTTGGCAACGTTTCATTAA